ACTTCAAGAGATAAGATCATGATGAAAACTAAAAATTAGGATGTTGCAAATATCTCAGACAGTCGAAGACTAGCAATACAGGGAGAGTAAGGCAACTAAATATACATACAAAATAAAAAATATGAGTACAGAATATTTCTGATAATATATAATGTTTGTGTGATGTTTTACAGTTTCTGAGATGCTTTGATATTTATACTATTTCATAAATAACCATAGCAACTGAATGTTTTTATTCTTAGAGAAGATAAAGTAAAGGCTTGGAAAAAATTAGTGGTTTATATATAATCATACATTTGTGGAGCAGACCTTGGATTAGAAGCTATGGTTTTAGCTTATTTTTTTTAAGACTGAATTTATTGGGGTTACACTGGTTAATAAAAATACAGGCTTATGTGGTACAGTTTTCTAATATATCACCTGTAGACTGTATTGTGTGTTCACCACCCCAATTCATATTTGTAATTATTGTTTATTCCCCCTTTATGCTCTCCTACCTCCTCCCACCCCTCTTTTCTTCTGGTGATGAGGGTTGTTTGTTTGCTTATTTATTTTTGCTTATTCCCTTTTTATATACCCCACTGACTTCTATGGGAAGATCTTAATCAGTCACTCACACCGTGAAGAAAATTTTTAGGCTTTAAAATTGATACTCCAGTCCTGGCTGTCATAGCTCAGTGGACTGAGCATGGACCTGCGAACCAAAGGGCCGCCGGTCTGATTCCCAGTCTAGGGCGCATGCCTGGGTTGCGGGCCAGGTCCCTGTCAGATGCAGAGTCCTGCATAAAGGATGGAGACTATTTGGGGAAGACATACGCAGCGTTCTAGGATTCCACGTAAACTGCAAATGAACACAATGCCTTCAGTTAGGTGCCAAATGGGTAATTTGAAGAGTTCATATAAATTCTGAAACATTGCTTAATAAGCTATGAGAACACTGTAAGTCCTTAGCAATGACATAAAAATTGAGTTTGCTATGAATTCAAATTCACGGAAATGGTAAAAAAAAAATTCACTATAAGTAGAGATCAAATTGCTAAAAATTTGGTAGCAAGTAAATCTTTACGGTTTAAGTCCCCAACTAGAATGTAGGGTCTCTGATGGAATGATGAGGTTTGTTAATTTTTGTACTGATGCTAAAAACTATTTTTAGAAATACCGCACAATGGATAAAAACAATACTCTTACCCACGTTCAGTGTCAAGTGATGGTACTCGTCTCTTGATTTTGAAGTAAATACTCTATTTCCTTTTTTCTAGGAGGTAAAAAAAAATCGCTAACTTACTGGAAATTTGGTATTTTCAACTCATTTAGGGTTTGGAAGGTTGTTTACCAAGACTTGGTTTTCTCTGAGAGTGAAAACAGTCCTCACTGTATTTCCTGGATTCAAGCGCACAACTGGAGTCTGGTACAAAACGCTGCTTGACCGCTCGGGCCGGGCAGGGCTGCCATCCACTGGCTGCTGCTCGCACGCCTGACCGCGTGTGCCAGCACCGGGGGCCAGTCCGGGCAGACTCACACCGCAGGGTCTCATCGGGGTGGGGGTGGTCCTCGGAAGCTTGGGTGGCTTGCTTGGAGTTGTGTAGTCCGTGAGTTGTTTCTACTTATTTCTCTCTCAGGTTATTTCACCACTACATGTTGCTATGTTAGGCATTTTATCTTACGGAAAGTTGATTTCAGAAAAGATTCCTTGTATATGATTGAGACTCCGACAAGGAGGCACAGCAGAGAGGGAACCCACGGGGCAGGTGAAGGGCCTGGCCTCCCACTGCAGCAGCCGGTCTGGCCAATCAGACACGGCCTGTCTGCTGCCACGGCAGAGTCTCGGGAAAGGATGCAGGCAGGCTGTTACTGCAGTGGCGGGCGTCCCGGGCGATCTCTTCAGATTGCTCCTCTCTTCTCGGAGAAAGAGCTGAGGTTATCAAGTGAAAGTGATGACGGAGAGGAGTTGTGGAAGGTTTGAGGAAAGACAAGACGGCGTGGCTGTTGCCAAGGAGAGCAGGATATACACACTGACTGCACAGCAGCTAAGGGGCCCTTCCTTTCGTGACCATGAATTTAAAGTGAGACCACCAGCGCAGCTGGGTTTTTCTCCAGCCGTCACCCGTGGGCAGAATGGGTGACGGGACAGGCTGGGCAACAGTGCACATTTAACCGGGGCTTGCTCGGCAAAAGGGAGAAGGGAAAGAGGGGCCGGCGAGCTGAGGAGGATGCCCCCACCCCCACTGAGCCATCTGAAACAGCGCTCCCCCTGAAAATGCGCACATTGCTGACTGCCCTTTTCTGCCTGCTTTTTTTCTTTAGCAACTGTCATGGCCGCATCACACACTGAATTTCTCTTACTGCCTGTCTCCCCTGTTGTGAAGTCTCACACGGCGGGAATTTGCGTCTGTCTGTCAGGGCTGCTGTCTTTAACAGGTGAGATTCCGCGCCGGGCACAGCAGTCACTGCAGTATCTGTGGCCCCTCCCACTCTGCCCTGTGGTTCCACAAAACGGAACTGGCTGGTGTGGTACCCAGCAGCTGTTTTTAAAGGACTGATGGTTTGGACGTCATTTTGATCTTTGAAACTGGTAACATTAGTTTCTTATGCTCATTATAATAAAGGGACCTTAAGGTGGTAGGAGTTTTTTTTTACCTAAAACAATTTTTTTGAAAGATTTATTTAGAGAATGGAGAAGGGAGGGAAAGAGAGGGAGAGACACACTGGAGGGGACCAAACCCACAACCAGGCATGTGCCCCGAGACGACACCCAACCATCTGAGCCACACCTGTCCGGGTCTCTAAAAATTTAAGTAGAAGAGAGTAAGAAAAAGTAGCAGGTGGTGAGAAGTGGGATGGGAACATATATACCGGCCAGTTTGGAATATGCCTATGGCCAACTTGCTCCTAACTGTGGGCGGGAAGGGATGAGAGAGGAGAGTGAATTCACAAGATTTATGTCATAGAAGTTCTTTCTGGCTCACTGTGGAATGTGGCTTCCAGGGACAAAGGACTGGGGCTCCAGAAACCACCCAGACAGTGGAGCAGTGATCCCGGAGAGAGGGAAGGGTTAGGAAATGGAGTGAAGGTACAGACAGCCAAGTGCCAAATACTTTTAAAGAGGAACCGAAAGCCCAAACCCAAGCAAATGGGGGTACTTTTAGTTTAAGATTACTAACACAATACAGCAAATGGATGAAATATTAATGAGCTTCTATTCTTACAGACTTAATATATGAATACTTTCAATAATCTACATGTTATTTTTAATATAATGACAATGTAAAGTTAAGCTTATTTACTCATTTTTTCCTGGGAACTGGAAAAATCCAATGTAATAGGACCCAGGAAGGGCTGGTCCTCCCTTTCTCTTCAACTCGACACAAAATATCTGCCAAGTGACAAACGCTCTGCCCGAGTAGATTTGTAGTTGCTGGTCATCAAAGCCAAACTAGAAAATGGGACGCCAGATCTTCACAGAACATCCTCAGACGCTCGGTAAGCAAGAAGCACAGGTACAAATTCTGCTACATTTTTCAAGATGTTTTTAAGATCTCAGCCAATCTGACAGAAACTTTTTCATCTTCCATTTCAACACTGCGATACAAATACATCCAAGTTAGACACTTCTGGCCCATTAGAATAACGTACCCTTACGTCCTGGGCCTAGGACACTACACTGTCACTTGCTTCAAGGTGAAATAGTTGTTTTTAAATGTCGTCTTGATTCGGTTTCGAGGCCCTCGCTAGAGACCGGTCGGTCCCCTTCCTGAGCAGCTGATTCAACTCACACGCCCACCACCTCCCTTCCCGGCTCTCACACTCCGACCACCGCGCACCTGCCGGCCCTGCCCCTCGGACAGCAGACAGCTGGACAGCAGACAGCCGGGGCCAGTCCCCGTGTCTCCGAGCCCACTGAAGTGCTTCCGGTGGGCCGGTCCTAGACCTATTCGCCCTGCCCCGCTCCTTCCAGCCGAAACCACAGTAAAGGTGTTCACCCCGGCAGCCCTGACTACAGGAACTGTGAAACTCTTTCTGGTTCCTCTTCCTCTTGATCTGCCTCTGGCCTCACTACAGTTCACTCAGAATGATGTGGTTAAAAAACAAGGGTATAAGGCGTATTTCTTTTAGGTAAGAAATAACACTAAAATTAACTGCTAATGTTTCTTAATTAGAAGTAATATATCGTATAACCATAATGTTAATTCCCTGCAACAGTCTGCACGGATTTATTTTGCTGCTGGAGCTGATTCCGACTTCCAGGGTGCCGTGGCTGACCGCGGACACACGCACCGTCTGTGTAAGAGAGAAGCCATCCGAAGCCCTGCTTTCACTACGAAGTATCATCATCAGTCGCGGTGCCACGTGAGGTGGGGTATTTTTAAAGGGATGCCCCATTAAAAATACCCGCATGTTTTTGGATCCACTAAAGGTATATTAGGTTACTCAAATTAATCAATCCACTAAAAACTCCCAACACTTCAAAAACATTAAAGAGACGGAAACACAGCAAAGAGTTCTGAGGCCATTCTGAACGTGAGCCGGTGGTGAGGAAAAGCAGCGGACACCGGCGCACCTGGGGTGGGGGCCCCGCTCCACAGCACTCCAGCCCACTCAGCGTTCAAGCTTAAGTTCTTCTGGGCGGAGGCACCCAACCTCTTCTGAAAGGGCCAGGGAGCCAAAATTTTAGTCTTCCCAGGACAAGCAGATTGCGTTGCAGTTGCAGAACATTATTACGCTAGACTTGTATGAAAATAGCATTAAGATGCTAAACTGCCATGTCCAATCAAAAATCATATTTTGTGGAATATTCATAAAATTTGCAAACAATAGACAATGTCAGTGTTGGTTTACAATGCTTCATATTTTTACAGTGGTTCAATAAACACTTTCTGAATAAAAAAATATAAGTACAAGGTCCAGAATGACACATTTTTACAAAAAGATTGTGGCACAGACCTTAAACTAAAGGTTAATGTCTTCTGTAAAACATATCAAACAACGAACAGTGGACTTACTTCAGATTACTGATTCTAGTTTCGGCACTCTCGGTAAGTTTCTTTGTTTCCTCCTTCCACCTATCGGCCGCCTTCTGCTGCGTGGCTAGGAGCCGCCTCAGCTCCACGGTGGAGTTGCGATTGCTGTCTTCCATCTCCCTCAGCTGCACTTCGAACCCATGCTCCTTCACCGAGAACTCGTGCTCCATTGCACTGACCTGGGCGATAAAATGGGCACAGCGCCCTCTCTTTATTTTCTGTTATGCTCAGGGACATACTGACCAATGATACGCACAAGTGGGATCACTCATTGGGCTGTCCGTGGCACACAAAGGCTTGGATAAGAAATCCATATAGAAATTATGTTTACAGTTTGTCCTGATCACAGATGAAAACGTACTCTGTATTACAGTCACCACCCCGTGGAGCCGGAACTACGATGGACCAACATTCTTTGCAGCACTGCCCACCAACACCTTAAAGTGCCAGCAGTAACAAAGTGTCCTCCATGATGGGAAATTGCTCTCATCACTTACTTTCACGTTGGTCGCCATAATCCACAAAAAAAATGTGCATGCTCTCCATCACTGAGAGTTGCGTTTTTACTCGAGCCATTTAAAAAATGTTCACTGGTTTCTTTTAAAGGAGGCGGCTCAGGAACAGCCGGAGGGAGGAGATACAAAGGGCAAGGCACAGCCTGCGGGGGCTGTGAGCTCCCTGGCCCTGCCCAGGCACAGCCCCGCCCCCTCACCAACTCGGGAGCTCCACCTGACGGTCTTTCACAGGGCTTTACCAAGTCAGAGAGTATTACATAAAGGAATTCCTTTACCAGTTTAGTTATAGTATAAACGGGTTTTCCTTTCAGGAAAAAAGGCTATGTCGACTTTGAGAATCTCATATGGAAGTAAGGCCAGTATAATCTCTAGGTAATGTATGTCATTAAAAGCACCTTTTAATGCAGAATGAGCATACAAGCGAGTGTTCTTGGGATGCCCTGGATGTTTCTCAGCTGCGACCCAGGCGGAGAGCTAAGCCTCAATGCCCTAAGGCACGTCACGAATCGCCTTCTCCTGTGTTCGTGGAGAACGGACCTATCACCATCCCCGAGCCAACTGGGAAAACCGCCCCGAGGACAGCTCCTTCGGTGCACTCTCAGACCACCTCTACCTTGCTACCCTAAAGAAATATTAAAAAGAATGACTACCTTGTGCTATTTGAAAGGGATGTGCTTGGAAAATGGTCCTAGCTGGCACGGCTTCTAGTAATTCATTCAATAAGGTTCCTCCGAAACTGAGAAAAGAAGGAACGAGTGCCCCGATCTTACCAGGTGACCGATAAGGTTCATGCCCTCGGTGGCAGGCTGCACGCAGCCCGAACGCAGCCCGTCCTCCTGCCCCTGCTGAATGCCACGGGCTTCCTGGAACGCTTACATCTGCTTTCTCGAGGGGGGGCGGGAGCAGAAATGTAAGACTCTATGAATACAGGCACTGGAAAGCAATATTGATTGCTTGGCTCTGTATTGCATTACTGCTGGGCAAGCCTCTTGAGGCTCCTTGACTCCTGCTATTCTAGTACTTTCTGAATTATTACATTCTGAAAACTTAGATTTCAGTATGCTCCCCCTCCTTCCCTGCCTTAACCTGCACTTCCTCTGGAGAAGCCATGCTTTTGGTATCTCAGGGGGGACTGTCTATTTCTGTCTCTCTGTCTCTCTCCCATACGTATCAAAAGGTGATCTATGCGTCTACACAGCGTCAGAACTCCGCCTCCCAAGGTAAGTGCCCGTCGCCGCCCGGAAAACCTGTTTGCCCTGGGGCCCCTCGGGGCCTGGCCTCTGCCTATGTCTGCCGGCCTGTGTCACGCCACTGCGGCCCTTCTTTCTCCGTTCCTGTCATAATGCCTTCCCGTTCTTGGGTCCTTTCCCACACTCCCTTGGCATGGAAAAACCTCTCCCCTTCTGCTTAGGTTAGTTACTCTGCTGGGGATCACTCTGCATGGTGTCGGGAACTGCAGCCCTGTGCAAGCCAGGCCTCAAATAATGGCCTGTAAGACTCGACCTGAACGCTGGGAATGCCGGGAGGCAGGCATGGCCCGATGCCAGCGCCAGCGGTTCCCGGGGGAAATCAGGCCTGAAGAATGCATTGCAACAGTGAGGCTCGCTTTGCTTTGTGTGGCCCTGGTGCCAGGAATCTGTTACCTAAATCCAAAGCAGAAGGCGAGAACTCCTAGCATCATGAACCATGCCTTGACGACCCCCTGGCATAGGCATACCTAACAGGCCCTGACCTGACGCAGATCTCTGAGCTTCCTCAGTTGCCATCTATAGGTAATATCTGTTTTCTGTAACTACGGCCTGTAGACCTTGATGGGTGAGCTTGGCATGCTTGCTGTACACCCTGCACGTGTCACTCTCGATAAAAGCCTCAGGAGGAAGGACCTGGAGGCTCCTCTCCCCTGAGAGATTAGCCAGCCTTTTCTCCCCAAGCAGATCTTGCGTTGACAGCCTCATTTCATCCGTGACTCTGGGGGACACTGCGGGACGGGGTCCCCCACATTACTCTATTCAACTTTTAGGATTGAGCTGTTATTGCCTCTGCTGGGTGCTTCTCTCACTGTGGAAGCAGTCAGGTCCCTCCGTATGCGCTTCCACTGATCCCTGTGCGCTTCCTAAAGCGCACTCGTCAGTTTGTGAGGAGATGTTTAAAGTGGGCCCCTCCACGCAAATTTTAAGGTTTTAAGGGTGGGAACCACATCTTTTTTGTTTACTGTTTTATCTTTAGGACCGGAAACATAGGGAAGTTGTCAAAGCACAGCTTCGACTGAACAAACGATGGCGTTTAGGTGTCAACATTCAGTCTTTAAACAAACCCCAGATCATTCCGCTGACATAATTCCGATTACTAAGCCAGACGGGTCTGCAGAGACCTGGGAAGGCTGAGGGTCACGGCCCCCAGGCCTGTGTTACAGGTAACACAAGTCCCGCTAATGATGGAATTCAGAACCTTGGGCAGGGAGTAAGCGTTTATGGTGCCCCTGCCTTCTCCCTTTGGGCCCTGCCCTGCAGAGAACCGAGTGCCCTCTCTGTCTGTGTGTGGCCAGGATCCTCTGGCGTAGCAGATGCTACGTGTTCGTGAGCACACACACGTGAGGCCAACCTCGCGACACGCTGCAGGTGGTGGTGGTTCCAGTGCACGTTCCCAGAGTGTCACGTGACAGTTCCAACTGCTTTGCAGCTCTGTCAATGCTAGAGATTGTTAGTGTTTAAATTTTACCCGTTCTGGCAGGTATGTAATGGTACTTCATTGTACTTTTAATTACATTTCCCCAATAAATAGTGAAATTGAACCCGTTTTCATATAGGCTCTTTTATAAGTGCCTATTTAAGTCTTGCCCATTGATGGCAATGAGATGCCTGTTATTTCCTTATTAGTAACTTACTTCTTAACTGATAGCAGTTTTTATATTCTGAACATAAGTCCTTTTTTGGTTGTATGTATCACAATACTCTCTTCCATTTTTCATTCTCTTGGTGTCTTCTGATGTCATTAATTTTAATGAAATCCAATTCATCTGTGTTTTCATGATTATTGCTTTATGTTCTGTTTAAAAAATTCTTTCTTACTCAAGGACGTAAAGATTTTTCTCCCTGAAGCTCCACGGTTTTATATTTTGCATTTAGGTATCCAAGGCAACTCAAATTAATGTGCATGTATGGTACAAGGGTCAACTAACTATTTTGAAAAGACGGCCTAGCATCATTTATTGTGAAGATAATTCTTTCCCTAATGAAGTGTACTGGTGTCTTTATTAGAATGAGGTGATTATGAAAGATGGGCTTCTTCCTGGGCCCTATTTGGTTTCAGTGATCACACTGATTATTCTCATGTTGATTATACATTTTTAGTTACTGTAGCTTCATAAAGTCTTACTATCTTCTAGTACAACTCTTCCCTTGTCGTTCAAAGATGTACTCTCTTTCCCACTGACTAAAGCATCAAGTTCAAACTCCTTTTCAGAGTTCAAGGTTGCATCAGTAAACACAGGGTCGAATACTGGTAATATTCGAGTTATTCAATAAATATATGTTGATACCAATTTGGCTGCATGTGACTGTTATGATTCCCCCAAATAACAAAGACCAAAGTGAAACACTAGCGTCGCCAGCCCATCACGAAGGGGTAATGCCACTTTTTACGGAAGTCCCACTGGATGATGGGCAAGGCCGGCGGCACACTGCTGGTAAACACCCGTGCTTCCTGAGTCCCCCGAAACAGTTGGTCACGTTCCTGTTGCCTGAGCGCGTCAGCGTCACAGAGGGGAGAAGTGAGAGGGAAGGGAAGGGGGGTTTCCTGGGGGAGACGTGGACCCTTGCCTTCTCCCTAGCATGGAATTTTTGGACCGCCGGGGAGGGGTTCTCAGAGCACACCGATAACCCCCCCCACCCCCTCATAGAGCCAGTGTGCGAGTGCGGTCCTCAGGGCGAGTGTGGAGGGCGAGAGAGGCCGTCTGTACAGTTATCTAATAATCTGTAGTTCTGCTAGCACTGCTGCAGTTGCTTCGGCAGGAATATCAGTGTCCTTCCTGGCTGGGAAAGAATTTTTTGTGTGTGGATAGTGAAAGCAATCATTTTCGAGTACGTTTTCCCACTTCTACGATACAGAAAAAAACAGTTAATGCTTTGCATTATGATTTAGTGCTACCTGACAAGAAGGCAAAAAAATAAAAAAGAAAAAACCTGAAAAATGTGTTACTCGGCCCCTAGATATTCTCAATACTTGGATTTTCACAAGTACGTATTTAACGCGGGCTCGTCTGAAAGTACCTTTAATTTGGCTTTTTTCTGAGCCTCCAGAGCCATCTTCCTTAAATCCTCCATCTCCTTCCGTAACTGCTCATTTTCCTGCTGCAGTTTCAGCCTTTGTTCGCTGACCAGCCCGCAGTTTTCTCTCTCGGACTCCAAGACACTTTGCAGTTTCTGAATCATTTCTTGGCAGCGCGATATCTCTTCCGAGGAACTGGTTAAGGGGAAAACAAGAGAGACGTAAACTTAAAGTGCAGACTGTGTCCCTCTGTTCCGAGCCACTTCTCTTCACTGGAGACTCGGCCAAGTGGGGTCACGATGCTGTCTTGTGCCGGGAAAACACATTCAACTCGGCAATCGCAGTGAGGAACAGACAAACCAAGCTGTCACCACTCGCCCAGAAAATGTACGTGAAAGCTCTTGCAAATTTTTACGAGCACTGAGCATCGCTGTGCAAACAGGACGTCAAGGGGACGAACTGAAGCGAGTGGTAAGAGAGGCGAAGTGGGTACTAATCAAAAGTCCTTCACTCCATCCATCGGCTCCACAGAAAGGCATTCGCTGACCACGTTAGCAAATTACAGTAACACCTCTTTCATATGTTTCTATGTCTTAGAAATGGTTTTATAAATCTCTCGTTCCACAAACTTCTTATTTAATCATAGTTTGAATAGGTTATATCTTTTTTTTTTAAGATTTTATTTATTTATTTTTAGAGAGGGAAGGGAGGGAGAAAGAGAGAGAGAAACATCAACGTGCGGTTGCTGGGGGTCATGGCCTGCAACCCAGGCATGTGCCCTGACTGGGAATCGAACCTGCAACAATTTGATTCGCAGCCTGCGCTCTATCCACTGAGCTACGCCAGCCAGGGCTGAATAGGTTATATCTTTAAACTTCCTCTACAATAAGTTTTTGGGTGGCACAGCCTCCAAACATAGATACTGCTAATTTTTATTCCTCTCGTTTTAAATCTCCATCTTCTCAATCCCAGGTCATCAACTGCTGTGAACATTCCCTGGCCCACACAGGGCCCTCATTCCCCACTGACAAATCTTTTTTTCTCTATCGGCCTCGGCTGATGAGGTTCACCATGGAACGGTGGGTCTAGGCAACGGTCACCAAAGGGCGCTGAGATCGGAACCAGCCACGCAGCGTGTGCCTCCCAACAGAGGTCCAGCACGCTACTGTCTGTGAAGAATTCTTACGAGATAAAAGCTGGATCAGATCAAGCCTCGTGACTCGATTCCGAGTTTTTTAGCAGAGAAACAAGGTAAGGATGATATTGCATATATGCATCCCATTTAACTGCCAGAAAGGAGAAAGTTCAAGTAAAACGGTGAAGTACTAATTAAATCTTTTCTTCCTTAAAGAAATTAGTCTTCAGAAATAATTTTGAAAAAAAAAGAAAAGAAAAGAAGAAGAAGTTCTTTGGTGTTCAGGTTTTTTAAAACATAAAATATAATTAATTATTAGTCCTATAAAAACATACTCTATCAAAAATTGTATGCATTCTGAAAGTATTATCACAGAAAATCCTAGAGAGTATCTTACTTTATTTCAAGGTGTTTTATTTTATTTTCTGCTGTCTTAAGTGTTAGCTGAAGATCGTCTTTGGAACGCTCTGCAACCAGGCATCTTTGGTGCATTTCCTCCAGTTTTCTGTAAAGATTTTCACTTCCTTTGCCCTCACGGTAAATCTGCAGAAGAGGCTTACATGTGCATTACCTTACAGAAGAGAGGGGTCTCAGAGAGTACACGTGTAGAAACTGAAATCAATGACGAGAAACCAAAACCCATGACCACGGGCTTGCCTGTTTTCGCTGTGACCTATTAGAACATACTAGTAATTGATCTGGGTGTTTCGCATTTACAAAACCCATGCACAATGCTAAAAGCTGACATAAAATAATAACCGCTTATTTTTGAAGTTATTCATACTCATTGTAAATTCTTCCAATCGTTTTAATATTTAAAAAATGTAAAACAGCTGAAGTGAAAAAAAGTACTCTAGATGTCTCCATTTAAGAAATAACTGCTTTGATTCTTGAACAAGACCCTACAAGTCACTTCTGCATTTGCATATTCAAAAACACAGACGCATGCAGTGATGCGATGAGCAGAACTTTGTGGAAGTGACTCCGAAGCCCCACTCTGTGCTGGCTGGACAACCATCTGGCGGGAATGACCTGTAGGAAAGACCCAGGTTGCTTGCCCAGGCTCAGCTTCCCATGAGACTCCCTTCTCCCACCACACAGGGGCTCCAACACGCCCGCAACCGCCAGGCAGCTCACGTCTTCAGACAAACACACCACACAGCTCCCCTTCGAGTCCAGACGGCCTGGACCAGCAACCTGGGTCTCCGCTCACTGACAAGACTGCTGCTACTCCTGCTCTACTTGAAACTCGGACTCTCCGCTCAACGCGCTGCTGCGGGCAGACCCCGCCCGCAGGGCGGCACCGGACTGCGCACCCCCGTCTGCGGGAGCCCGGTGGGGGCGCAGGGAGCTGCGTCTCCTCCACCCGTCGCCTTCCGCTTGTAGCGCTGGCTTTCCCCACGAGAGCCCGTAACCTACGCTCCGTGACACTGAATATTCACCCCAGGCCCTGACGTGCAGCAGGTGGGGTCGAAGCGGGACAAATAATGACGAACACCGAGAAGGCATCCACCGCGAAGGTGAGTGGTGGGGTTACCCCAGATGGTGTGCTCTGTGAATGACTCTTTTTATGTTCAGTGCTGTTACGATTTTTTCATGTCAGTAATACAGATACATCATGTGCTTTTTATGCTACATAGCTCCTCTTTGAAAAAAAAAACAAACAAACTTTGACTCTACCATTCACTTTTTTAACACTGGGCCAGTGCCTGCTGAATCAGATTGAGTTTCCCTCTTTTCCCCGAGGCGCCTGCAGAGAGTGTGATACTCACTGATCATGGAAAAGAAGTTCTCTAAGTAAGAAAAAATCTAGCCATGGGCTTCTTGCAATACTTTTTCTCAAATAGCACTGCACTAAATATTTTTCTTAACTATGAAATAAAAATCTGTACTTTTAAAGGTAAAAATTATAGCAGTGTTATAATTTTTGGGTTACATATACTTGCTATATTTATAGATGGCCTAAACCCAGTAAGAGTTGGTATAAAATTTAAAAAGGATAGACAAACTAAAATTTACCATTGGGTTGAGGTTTAAGCGAGGAAAATGGCTACTTCATAAAATGTATCCCTTTAATTAAAAAGTTCAAATCACGTGGCCATTCTTCTTATAAAGAAATGCACGCAGACAATGCCGATATTTAAAGGGTTAGGGTTCTGAGTGCACGCCAAGGGACTAAAAACGCTCACCAGGAGAACACTGAACACATGGGGGTTGCCAGTGGGGAGTGTGACGAAAGCAGACAGTGATGTTGAGCATTTGCAGTGGGGTTTTAGGCAGTTATTTTTTTCCTTTTTCTCTTTACCTTTTCTAGTTCTTCTTCCACTGCTTTTTTCTCCTTCATGACTCGTTCAGTTTGGCTGAGTTTTTCGGCACACTCCTGTAAATTCAAGTCACACTGTAAATATATGTACATGGGTAAATCCTTGAGGGAAACGGAGAAGGAAGGGGATTTGTTCGTACCAGGAATGCCACATTTCCTCTGTCAGGGCAGCAGGGCCACACTGATGAAAAAAGAAAACCGAAACCAACAAACTCAGCCTTCAAGGGGCCGCCCACCCCAGGATTTCAGAGCTCACTTCTGGTATGAACTGCCAAGGACTTCTAAGTGACCACACCAGGTGGGTGACAGAGGCTGACGGATAGCAGGGGGAAAAGAAAATAAATGGGACTCCTTTCCCACACTATCGTTTTTCTTTTCATATAATCTTACCACACAGTTTAAAAGAAAACAGAACTAGAAAGAGGCACAGCGCCCTGAGGATAACCTGTGGATTCAAAGGAACACAGGTGTGTAAATTCTAAAAGATTTATTTTTTTTTCAAAACAGATAGTCAATGCAAATAAAACTAAAAATAAAAACAACCATTATAAGAATAGTTATTCACATTTACTTTGATCTATTCACTTATTTTTGAGAACGAGTGTGGCTGTTTTTGGCTAGTTGTAAATTATGCTTTGGAAGAACCTGCTTTGCTGACAGTACACTGTTAATTAATCTTCAATTATCTTTATCAAAAATTTTATCAATGTTTTTACATTTTAAAATAAGCTTTTAAATTGTGACCCATAACTAGTTAACTCTGATCATAATGAAGATCTTTAACCCTACATTACAACTCAGATGAGTAACCTAAATTTATTATATTTTCATAAGGTAGAACCAAGCATGTAAGAAATGAAACTTTAACGTTCTGTATGTTCATATAGTAAGTTGCTAACCTATGAAAAAGGTAGTTTTATGGTATGATTTCTCCTGTTCATAACTCATCCCATGTGGTTCTTTTTAAAGGTACTTGAATAACAAATCCTCACCCGAGGATACGATCGCTGATTTTAGAGAGAGGACGGGGGAGAGAACCGTTGCTGTGAGACAGGAGTGGCCACCGGCTGCCTCCCACATGCGCCCCGATCGGGGCCGGAACCCCGCAACCTTCCCGGTGTACGGGGTGATGCTTAACTGACTGTGCCACCCTGTCAGGGCGAGGCACTAGTTTTTACATAAATTTTAGATTCACAGTAAACTGAGTGGAAGTTAGAGATTTCCCTTAAAATCCCTGCCCCTGCACATGGACAGCCTTCCCACCGTCAGCATCCGGCACTGAGGTGGTACCTTTGTCACACACGAGGCATCGGTACAGCATCAGCACGCAGACGCCACAGTCTGCGTGCCTGTGCTTCTGCTGCTGTGCCCGCTGCGGGTCTGGACCAGTTCACAGCGGCCTGTCTCCACCGTCGCAGCACCACACAGAGCAGTCTCACTGCCCTGGAAACTCTCTGTGCTTGTTCGTCCTCCTCTCCTCCTGAACCGCCGACAACCACTGACCTTTTCCATAGTTTCCATAGTTTCGCCTTTTCTGGAATGTCATGTATCTGGAATCATATGGGATGCAGCCTTTTCAGACTAGCTTCTTTCACTCAGCAATGTGCATGTGAGTTTCCTCCATGTCTTTTTGCAGCTTGACAGCTCATTTCTCTTTAGTGTTGAATAATATTCCATGGTCTAAATGTGCCATAGTTCACTTACCCATTCACATAGTGAACAATGTCTTGGTTGCTTCCAAATTTGGGGAATTATGCAAGAAGTTCCTGTAAACCGTCATGTGCAGGTTTCTGTGTGAGCCCCAGTTTTCAACTCCTTTGGGCACCTGAAGCGGAGTGACATCACTGGGGCATGTGCAGAAGTATCTTCACTTCTTCAAAAGTATCTTCAAACCCCCAAATCACATTTAAAGGTGACCGCGCCATTTTTCCTTCCCACTGGCAGCGAGTGAGAGTCCCTGCCACCCCCCATCTTTGCCGGGCTGGTGCTCTGTGCCCAGGCCAGGCTCGAGGGTGTGCCCGCAGGTGCGTGGCGTGGCGGGTGGTTTCTCACTGCGGTTTCACTTTGCCTTTCCCTGTGGCCTGCGTGGCGGAGCATCGTCTCACCTGCTTACTTGCTACCTGTGCATCGTCTATGGTGCGGTGTCTGTTTAGGTCTTTGGCCCATTTTTAAAATTGAGTTGTTTGTTTTTTTATTGTTGAGTTTTAGGAGTTTTTGTATAATTTGGATAACAGACCTTTGTCTTTTGAAAATATTTTTTCTCAATCTGTAGCCTGAGTTTCCTGAGAAAATCGTGTTTTTTTAAAAAAGTAGTTGAACATGTCTTCCTTTAAATGTATTTCTAAATGTTTAATTTAAACACGTTTTTCCTTTATTTTTACTGGATTTACAAGGGTGATATATACAATGGAATACTACCTGGCCGTAAGGAAAGATAAAATATTGCCATTTGTGACAACATGGATGGACCTTGAGAATATCATGTTAAGCAAAATAAGTAAAAAAAAAGTTAAGAACTACATGATTTCATTCATACATGGGACAGAAAACTGAAAGCAACAAATGGACAAACAAGGAAAACAAAAATCATACACACAGATAACAACAAACACTTTTTCAGTTAGTACTGTTTTCCCTATGGAATCAACAGATAATATTTAACATTTATAGAAAAATCCACTTAGCTATGTATTAGATGCTTTTTACTATGAATGCTAAGAAAACATATATTGAAATAATCTGAAATTATAATTTTTTACCCTAAAGTGAGTTTACATAGCTCTGGTGGTTACAGAGGTAAAAGTTAAAATCCCTGCAGGCCTAAAAATAGTACATGCTCTTTTGGGAAAACAGAAAGGGCAAATGTTCTTGTCCCTCTAGAGTTTACAATCCTCTAAATAATCCTGGACTAAGGCAGGACCTTCCTCAAAGTTGTTAGTCCTCCGACAGCTCAATCACTCCACGCAAGAGAACATGCAGAACAGCAAGGTGAGAGAAGAGGGAATAAAACTGAAAAACCACAGAGAATTAAACATGACTAATTAGCCACACCGCATCCCATTAATTTTACCTAACGTTACTATATCCTTAAAATAAATGGCACTAAACAAACAAAAGGTAACAGTTTCCTGTTTCTGTGGGCCTCAGGACCTGCGCACACTGACTTTGTCGGCTACTGAGTTTGCAGGACCAGGAAAAGACTTCTGCGTCCTTTCAGGGGTGATTAAATCCATCAGAGATCTTCCCAACTTCGGAGACGCTTGGACTTTTATTCCCCTGTAAGTAACCTTATTAAATTCCATTCCATTAATGTTCAAGTTAAACTTGTTTACTTTGTCCACCTCTAGTCACACAAATACCCTGTCTGCTCTCACCCCAGCGCCCACTCATCCTCGGTAACCACCTCCTCGGGGAGACTTGTCTTTTCCCCTCCGCACTTGCACGTACACTTTTCCCTTCTCCTGGGTACCACGTGTGTGGACCCAGCGTGTGGCAGCGGCTGTGGCGGCCGCTCCAACGGCGCCGAGTGCGTCCTGTGTCAGGACAGGCAGTCAAACGTGACAGACGCCACCCATCCTTCCTGCTAGGCCGTAAGTTCCAAGACTGCAGATAACATGTTTACGTTGATTTTTACTCTTTTTTTTTAGAGCATCTAATATAGTTCTTGTCTTAAAAAGAAACTTTTGAATGAACTCATGCCCAATAATATGTACCTTGGCTTTTAAAATAAGCAACCTCGGAAGCAAAATCAACATGGTCTCTCAACGTACCATCTGAAGTGCTGAAAGCTCTTCTGTCAGTCGAGAAATCTGTATGTTATAAAGTTTTCTTGTGTTTGTAATCTGTAAATTAAAATATTTATGAATAGTTTAGGTCTACAATAAAAATTAATAATATCCGACATACACAATTAAGATAATTTTGATAGAAAATAAAGTGATAACTTTTAGGGCATAAAAGATATGCAAGTGCCTGGTGGGTTAGAGAGTCTGGAATGTTCCGCGACAGAGGCGGGAGACAGACCAAGGCAAAGGGCAGTCTGCAGCACGCTCTTGGGCCCAGGACCCTTTTACGTTGTAAAAACCAAGATCTTTTTGTTTGCGATGGGTTCTTTCTGTTGAAATTTATCATATTAGAAATGAAAACTGAGAAAGTTTCAAAATATTTACTTATTGACCCCTACATAAATAACAATAACTAAGGTTATTACAGGTTAACACAAATAATTTATTTTTATAAAAAGTAAGTATACTTTCTAAAATGAAAATATTTTGAGAAGAGTGGGATTATTTTACATTTCTGTAAATTCCCTTAATGTGTGGCTCAATAGACATAACAGGTTGCACACAGATGCCTGTTGAGACTATTTAGAGAGGGAGGTAAGTAGATTTCAGGGGGCAGCTGAATACCTCAACTTTGTGGAAAGGCTTGGACTGAATGTAGAAAGCACAATACTTGAAAAATGACAGACATTATTAAAGGATTCATACAAAAGATAACCTCCATCAATCATAAAATTCACGTGAATTTATTTTAGAACTAGAAAATTAGAGGATTTCTCATACCATGAGTACTTTGATAAAAACACTTTTTTAACTGATGAGGCTTTTAAAAACCAGTTTACTTCAGTCTACCTCAGTGAGAAATAATACTGCTCGTGGAAAAATCTAGGTAGGAAAAAAGTTAACACCTGTATTTTATCCAGTGGAGGAATATACAGTGTATCCAACCATCCTATGGAAGGTAACTTACTTTAATTTATTTATTTATTAAATTTATTTTTAATTAAAATATGGTTGACATACATACAATAGTATATTAGCTTCAGGTGTTTAGGAGCTCATTTTAAAGGAAAAGGGTATCAGCTTTTGATAATTTATGTTAATTATTGCATAGATAGTCTTTATAATTATGTAGGCAAGCATTTTAATGTTCACATTACAGTAAAAATTATACTACAAATCTCTGCTTTTGCTAAATCTTGCCTCTGACAAAAATGTCAAGCTAAAAAATTACAACCAAAGCTTCCTGAAGAACTGGCTGCTTCCAGGTCTGGGGCAGGGAAAGTACAGGGCGAGAGAGAAACATCACTCATGCAAGAGAGCCAGGGAGACAGCTCAGGAACGAAAAAGACCGGTGGCAATATAACGTAACAAATAACAAATACTCGTGAACCCACAGTGGTATTGAAAAACGGGGCAGGGTACTTCCTTACTGAAAAATGACAACTCATACATACACAGAAGGAATAACAGAATTAGAACACTGTCATCTTCATCACTCCATATGATACTTATTTAAGGCAAGGACTGTCACTGAGTGCCAAAACCACTGGATGGAAGATTTTGGTGGAAAAGGACAACTGCCTGCATGGTCTTCAGATATCGCCCCCAATTATTGATTAAGGTTACAGCGGACACATCTGGTCTCACCGCCCTGACCATGTGGTCAGGCTCAGCATCACCCGCGCACAGCCTGACATCACAGCCCGACATCACAGCCCCCTGACGTGATGGAGGAGGAGGTGACACACTGCTCTGCACAAGTGACCTGAGCCCCATCAAGAAGGAACCGTCAGGTGAACCCAGACGTGGGTGCTCGAAGAGACAGCCGGCCCGGGTTCTACGGGTTCTATGAAGGGTTCTTTGTCGTTGCAGGGGAAGACGGGTGCTCTGGCTAACCGGTGAGGACCAGAGACAGCAGCCAAATGCCATGCCGCGCAACTGTGGGCTGGATCCTGGATTTAGAAAACCAAACCACTGCTGGTTTTCATTAAAAACCAAGACTAGTTTAGGGAAGTTTGACTGTGGATTGTATTGAAGTAACGTGGATTTCTAAAAAGGTGTGGTAATAGTAGTGTCGTTGTGCAGTAAAATGTACTTTTTTCTGGGGAAATAGAGGCCAAGATATTTAGGAGTCCAGTGTTATGATGCCTATAGTCTGAGCGAATGTTCGGCAAAAGGGAATGGATTTTGCAAAGTGTTAAGGGTTATCAGGGTGAGGAGTACAGAAGTGTTCACTGTACAGCTCTTTGAACCCTGTTGTGGGTTTGGACATTTCCAAAAATAAATGGACACAAATTACTGTGACCGAGAGCCCAGCTCAAGAAGCAGCAGACTGCACTCGCATCCCGGTTCTGCTCCCTCCTGGAGGCAGAGCCCTAAGCCAGTTCCTTAACTACCCCGCATTTCAGTCTTCTCGTCTCAGAGGGGGTTTCTGCGTTTCCTCCCACTGAACTCACATTGCACTACCAAAATTGACCGTGCCACTTACAAAGAGATTCATGTCTAAACTAGAGGAAAAGGTAAGCATATGTATCTCACTGCTGTCTCTGCTAGATAGAAGCCAACTTTTATTTCCAAGACAGTTTTAACTTTCATAAGCCTCACAATTCAAACCAAGAAACAACTTATTGCTTTAACACAAAAAATATTAGATTTCGTCTAGACAACAGAATAGCAAACCACCACACAATTCACAGACTGGGTTAAGCACCAGCATGACGTGACCCAATCAGTTCAGCAGGGAGAAGGGGGGGGCCTGTGTTCTGGCTTCGGTTAGTACGTGACTTTGAGTGGTCAGTCAGTGACCCCTTAGGGGTCCGTCCTTCCTTCCTTCCTTCCTTTTCTTTCTTTCCTTTCTTCCCTTCCTTCCTTCCTTCCCTTTCTTTCTTTTTTTCCTTTCTTCCTTTCTTTCCTTCCTTCCTTCCTTCCTTCCTTCCTTCCTTCCTTCCTTCCTTCCTTCCTTCCTTCTCTCCTTCTTTCTCTTTCTCTCTCTCTCTCTCTCTCTCTCTCTCTCTCTCTCTCTCTCTCTCCCTTCCTTCCTTCCTTCCTTTCCTTTTTTTTATTTAATTGTTGTTTGGGTCTTAGTTTCTTTACCAATAAAGTAACAGGTTCAGCCAGATTTCACATGTCCTCAGACACTCTAAGATACTGCAAACAACAGGTTTTCTTATTTCTTACGCATTCTAAGTTTCGTTTTGTTTTGAGCCTTTTTAACCTTACACTTGGGGCATGTTACCCTTCCCTATTCTCCTCCCTGCTGCCCTGCCCTCCCCCGGCCTACTCCGCACAAATAGTAGGTGCCACTGTCCCGAGATGAATTTTATTTGAAATTTGGCATAATTGATGCATTTAGCTGAAAGTTAAGTCCCCATGGCAAAAACTTAGGTAGTATTTAATCTTAAGCTGTGAAACTTTACACTTTCAAGGTAATAAAAAACACCTTACTTCCTTTTTGGTCCTTATGGCAGCATCTTGGACAACCTGGGAAAATGTTTCTCTCATTTTCTCTATCTCCTCTTCTTTTTGCTTCTCCTCCAGCAGAGCCTTTAGAAAACAAGCATTCCAAGTTATTGTAGATGACATCATTGTTAATAAAGATGACATAATAAATGGGTAAAAACTTATCCACGGACTACCTTCCCGAAAGCAAACATCATGTTCTAAACTCCTGAGACCTCTCCACTTGGAGCTCCTCCCTAGGTTCTGAACGGTGCCTGTTTCTTCCGACCTCCTCACCCGGTCCTGTCCTAACAGAAGATGGACTCTTTTCCTTTGGCATTCACTCCATCACTCTCTAATCTCTACAGCTGGGAGTCTTAGGATCATTTTAGAATTTTCCTTCTCCTGCAGTCCCTATATAAAAATAAGTCATCAAGTCTAGGTATTACATTCTTGGAAAAACCCCTTGGATTCCCCTTGATTTTCATGATTCAAATTAAGTCCCCTGTCATCTCACACCTCAATCACTGCAGAGATGACCTGTCTTCTTGATGTGTATCTTTTTTAAAAAAGATTTTATTTTTAGACAGAGGGGAAGGGAAGGAGGAAGAGAAAGATCAATGTGTGGTTGCCTCTCAAGCACCCCCCTATTGGGGACCTGGTCCACAACCCAGGCATGTGCCCTGCCTGGGAATTGAACCTGCGACCCTGTGGTTTGCAGGCTGGCACTCAGTCCACTGAGCCACACCAGCCAGGGCTCCTGATGTGTTTCCATCCTTCCAATCATTATTATTTCCCACCTAAAAAATAGTCTTATAACCCCAGCCCGATGTCAGTCATCCCCATGTCTGTGCTTTCCTGGGGAGCAAAGCCCCTCTGGCGCCCCCACTGCCCTGCCTTCAGCACCGTCTCCCTCACCCTCACCCACTCAGGCTTTCAGCAGCCATGAGCCCCACCGATGGCTCAGGAGTCCGTTCTGGGTAATCGTTTTATTTAATCTGACAGATTAAATTGAGATACTGGACTATTTTTTCCCTCGTTTTGCTTTGTGCACCCCAGCACTGGTTTTCTTCCAAACCCACTCGCCAGTCCTTCCCGGTCTGTGTTGCTGCTCCCCTCAGCCTCTTCGCTACCAGACGGCCTGGGGTCGGGCCCTGCTCCTCCGCTCCATCCGCGTGCACCCTCGGTGGGCTAATCCGCTCTCATGGTTTTAAATATCATGTACATGTCGGCAGTTCCCAAATACACCTCCCTTGCCCAGGTATCTTTTTGAGCCTGCAGCAGCGCCGATGTTCCACCTGACTGCATCCCTCTCTCTTTAACCATCGCGTGGTAAGTGGCCCTGTGGTTGGATCCTGCTGCCTTCCAAAGATAACACACACACTCCCATCTCTGTCTTAAAAAAAAACACTTTAATGAATTCCCTCCTGCTTAAACAGGTAAGCTGAGAAGAGTAACAGCTGTTCTGACGTGGCAGCCCTGTCGGGGGTGGAGGGGGGGCGAGCAAGCCACTGAGGAAAAGGGGAAGCGTCGTCAGAGATCTGCTCGAGGCTGTGCTTCCTGCCTGCCTGCCTGCGCGACGGGCTGCAAGGCCCGGGGACTCCTTGGAAGGCAGGGGAAGGCAGAAGCCCTCTAAGGGTCATGCAGTGAGTCAGAAGGGGGCCTCACACTGCAGCCATCAGCAGCCTCTGCCAGGGTCCGCGGACGGAGGCCTGGGGTGAGGAGACGTGACGGGCAGGCAGGGGGCGCTGTTCCCAGCCTCCCTGCGCACCGGCTCTACACCAAGGGTCGTCCTTGACCGCCTGGCGCTGGGGACGCCCCAGAGTCTGGGCTTCCGAGGGGAAAGGGAAACAGTGTTGTCCTGCTCTTAATTTTTTTTTAAAGTCATCTTAGGTGTTCAGAAAAATTCCCAAGCATTTTATGTCTATTTTGTGCCTTTCAACCATTCTAAGAGGCAGAATTCAGACGGGAATATTAGCATTCCCACAGTTTAAATTTGGATAATTATGTCTTTTAATCTCTTATTAGCTTCTTAATAGACAAATTATAGTTCGTTTCACTTTTAATAGGTTTCTCGGAAAACCCTCCACTACGTTAGAAAGGAAAACATAAATAAAGCATTTCCTTTGTACTTCCATCTTTCCCAGTAGGGTATTTATACATGTAATAGGTATTCAATAAATATCGGTTAAATGAATTAATGATTTAAAGATCTCCACAGAGGGAAGGCAGCCACGCTGAAAACAGATATCTGAGTATGTCCTTTATGATGTCTGTAAGCTATACACCATTCACAGGGAAGCGGTGAGAGACAAAAATATCCTATGTGACAGCTAGGCATCAATTGTTAGCGTGAAAGAAAACAGTGGCATAAGGGCCCCAGTTAATAAATCTGTGCAGCTAAATTTCATTCCTGTCATTTCAGCGTCTGCTCTATCAGAGTAATTGTGTGGGTGATGCAGGGGAAGTAGGATGAGTGAGACTCATCTGGTTCAACCGGCCACGATACAGGGGCTCCCGCAGAGAGGTGCAGAAGCAGATTTCTGGGGGCGTGAGATGACGGGGCTGCAGACCAGCTACGCAAGGGCTGCAGACAGAGGAAAAGCCTGACGTGCACACGTCAGTTTTGGGAGAGGGCTGACATTGTATCACATTTTATGATATTAAGTCTTTTTAAAAAATTTTCTATGAAACAACTTATTTAGCAAACAATAACTTTGGGAAGGAATGATGAAACTCGAACATAAAAGCTTAAGTGAACCTTTGGAAGGGCGATCTGGCAACAGGCATGCTCAGCCCGCGACCAGGGAAGTCGCCCCGTGGCTATCAGTAAGGCAGCCCAGGCGCAGCTCTTGCTGTCGCCCGGGGCGGGAGTTCGCAAAGAGGGACGCTGCCAGGCTACCTCCCGGAGCCCCAGGCTTGGGCAGGTTGATGAGACTCGCTGCCGAGTTTTCGATGGACTTCGCTTCCTGGCGCAGGTGGGGATGCTCCAGGAAATCACACGGGTGGGCGGGGATCCTGATGGCAGCCAGGTGGGACACACTGAGCAGGCTCCGGTTCACCATCCTCTCCATTGGCAAGGTGTTTTTCACGGCCCTCCGGCCGCGCCCCAGTGACATTGGTCAGGCCCCCGGACACCGCCCAGGCGGATGCGCCCCCCTCGCTGGTTCTGCAGGGGCAGCAGCGTCAGGACCGGCTCCCACGCCTCCCTCCGCTGCCGCAAGAAGAAGGTAGGGAAGGGCTTCAAGGCCACTTCCTGGCGGTCGAAGTAGAGGGCCATGGACAGGTACAGGTGGGTGGGGCATGGGGCTCCAGGTCGGTGTGTCTGTGGAGGGCGGCCTGGCATTCCCGGCGGTAGTTCTGGCGCACTCCTGGGGGAGGTGGCGGTGGGGTGGTGGGGTCCCCCCCTTGCAAGGAGCAGGACACAGGGCGAGAGGTGCAGGCATCAGGGCCTGTGGGTCGGGCTCTGTGGCCAAGAGGGTGGACAAAGCACCATGACGTGGGCTGGGGGGAGGGCTGTGGAGTGGCAGCGGCGTGGGGGAAGGCGGCCGTGGCGCGGGCCTGGGTTCGTCCCCATGGTGGTCGATGACGGTAGCTGGTGGCTCAGTCAGCAGCGATGGCGGTGGGGACCTCGGAATGTCCCCATGGTGGGTGCCCAGTGTGGCCGGACCCAGGTGTGCTCAGGCGCTAGGCCGCAGGAGGCTGGAGGCTGGCTCTCAGATGGCCATGATACTAAGTCTTATTGTCACTAATGTGTGTTTATTAATGGAGAACATAGCAATTGCACTTTCACGTGTTTTTTTCTGTAGTTATAAATTCCTATACTATTAGGTCACATGGGCAGATAGTATTTTATTTTTTAATAAACATGTTAACTAGTTTTCTTACCTGGTTTTTTTGCAGGGTAGCTTCTTCTAAGAGTTGCATGCTATTTCTGGCTCTTAGAATAGCTTCGTATTTCTCATTTTCTAATTCATTGTACTTTGCTTGTAAGTCTCTGGTCTGGTTTTCCAAATGTGTTTTTTCTGTTCTTAATTGGTTGGCTTCTTGAATTGCTACACATAATCTAAAAATTAATAATCACATTGTAAAAGTTCAATATCTTTTTTAAAGATTTATTTTTAGAGAAAGGGGGAGGGAGGGAGAAGGAGAGGGAGAGAAACATTGATCTTTCATGAGAGATACATCAGTTGCCTTGGGCATGTCCCCAGCTGGGGTCCTGGCCCACAACCCAGGATGTGCCCTGACGGGGACTCGCACCAGCGACCTCTTGGTTTGCAGGCCTGCACTCAGTCCACTGAGCCACACCAGCCAGGACTAAAAGTTAAACATTTCTAAAGGGAAGGAAGGAGATAGTGTATTTACTGAGCACCTATTGCAATAACAGCATTCCAGCTACTTTCACATGTATTTTCTCATTTGATTAGCACAAAAACTCGGTAACATCGATTTTGTTATTTCTATTTTAAAGAAAATCAAGGAAACCAATATTAATAGAGATTAAGCATTTGATTAAGGTTGAATGGCTAATGAGCAGTGGGGCTGAGACCACACCTAGAAACTTAGACTCTATGTTACACTTTCAGTAGTATCACAGTGTACTGTATAGTTACATGATGATGTTGTAAATGTGTTTCTATGGTATCACAGTGCACTGTATAGTTACATGATGATGTTGTAAATGTGTTTCTATGGTATCACAGTGTACTGTATAGTTACATGATAATGTAGCATCACAGTGCACTGTATAGTTACATGATGATGTTGTAAATGTTTCTATGGTATCACAGTGTGTTGTATAGTTACTTGATAATGTAGCATCACAGTGCACTGTATAGTTACATGATGATGTTGGAAAGCAGACCCTTAAAGAATGAGTTGTTATTTCCATTCACATGGCCTTTTCCCCCCTTTCCTCTTTGGTCGGCTCCCAGTTCCTACTCCCACACAGATAACCCATGTTAACTTACTCATATAATCTTTGAATATTTTTCCCATGTTCATAAAGTCAAATACACATATACACATAAATGCGTATGCACAGTATATACACATTGATTCCACAGGTTTTTAAACGTAATTTTTTTGTTATTGAAACTAAGACCACCCTTTCCTGTGCTCGCTGTCCTCACTGACAGCATCTGGCAGAAATTCCCCAGCGACGCGTCCGAAAGCTCTTTCCTTCCCTGCTCTGATGCCTCAACTTCATTTCACTGTTAACTGTATTGCCCGGATTACTGGAGGCTTTAAGCGTATTTTTAAAAGTTTGCTAGACATGCGAATGTCATATTTAAATCTTTTCTTCCTATCCTCTGCCTATTTTTCCCAGTGGGTTATTTACTTTGCTGATTCTTTTATAAGAACTCTTTGAATGTTCAGACACTAACCCTGGGTCTGTCCTGCAGGCCGCAAATGTTTTTCCCAAACCCACTTTTTGCTGTCGGTGCCTACTGACTCTATGTACGGAATCTGTCACCTGGCAAAATTTCACTTGAATACAGATAAATCCGGCAATGTTTTCATCTTCTCAGGTTTCAGTTTTTATGAAGATGATCTCCCTTATCCGCAGATTGTTAATGTAAGCCCCTAGATTTCCTCAAACGATTGCTATGTTTTTCATTTTTCTACCCCTGAGTCTTTAATAACATGTTCAGGTAAGACGGCTCCTCCCTTTGTTTGTTCTTCCCAGGCATTTTTCCGAGAAGCCTGCTCCCCTTCCCGGCCCCTCCCCCCCCACCCCACTCCTCACACCCTGACAAGTGTCCCTGCCCCTGCACACTCTGAGCTCCCCCCGCGCCCCATCTCCTGGCTTTGGAGGTGACAGAAGTCAGCCTACCTTTTACTGCATCCCTCTCTCCTTAAAACATATTTTTTGTTGTTGTTGTTATTAGTGCACTTGCTCAATTCTAAATGAAGTGAGCTAAGGTCTGTCCCTAATTTAGTCAGGGTTCTTCGCTGCCAGCAGCAGAAGGCAATCTAACTTGAGATCTTTGTTCTAGTTCATTTACTCTTTGTTTTAGCTGTTTTCCAAAACAACATATTACTAGGCTTTGGTTTTTTTTAACCCAGATCTGCAAGTCCCTGTGTTGTCAGGAACTGAGCTGGCCCAGACCCGACTCTGTGACTCTGCCGTGCAGGACTTCGTCCTCTCCCGCCCACTGGGGGGCAGCACTCGGGGCAGCGGGTGGAGGAGCACGCACCCTCCCACCGGGACACCAGCCACCGTCCCACGCTCAGCTCGTGCTCCCGGCGGGCAGGCACGGAAGGTGGACTCACGCGGGGCGTATGAAGAGCTAGTTTAAAGCCACGCCGCTCAGTCAACGCCTGCCGGTTTTGGCAGAGCACACACACAAGCCGGAGAAGTCCTTCCCGGGGAGGACGCACAGCCCCTGGAGCTATTTCCCAGGGTCCATAAGTCATCTAAAAAGCAGGGAAAAGGGACCTTTATTTGGAAGATGAAGAGAAGTGACTTTGCTTCTTAAATGACTGTGACATTTGAAAGGATCACACATATTTTTAAATATAACTAATAATTTCAATAACTATAATAATATTTATCAAGACCAAATGCCTTTGAATTTATGGACCAAAGATGACCAATAAATGCAGAGCTTTAAAATCTGACAGTTCCGTTAAGTAAGATGCATTCCCACCTAAACATACTGGCTGAACATTGCTAAAGACACATATCAAACACACTAATAATCAGAGATTTTTTAAAACTTTAAAATAGATAACTAAATTTGATCATAGTACTAACTTAATTTAATAGTGCTGAAAGACAGCCAATGCAAACATTTCTTTTCAGGAGGCTAGCTGAACCCTCGACTTTACGAAATATCCTCGTATTTTCTTCCACGGGCAGTGACCTCTCTTCCCAGGGAGCTATTCGGCCAGGCTACACTAGAGCTCCACGCTCACAGCAAACTGCAGTAAAACCACGAAGATTTCCCAAACCCTTCTACACTACACAGGCAACTTAGAGCGCTGCTGAAGGAATACACATGATTCACCGTGACTCAGCATATCAGCATCAATAGGAAGAGAAATTCACTCACTCGGATCTCACTGGTTTGAGTCTCCAGCATTTATTTTCATAGCACAGACGTTACTAAAATAACAGACGTGAAATCCTGTTAACCACAGCCTTTTTCTCTAAGGTTAATACAAAGAAGTTCAGGAAAGGAAAACAACTTGACTGCTGAGAAGTTTAGAAAAATGAAAAACAAAACCCCAAAACCCTAGCACTTAGAAAAATTGTCTCTTTCATCACAATATCCAGTTAGCAGTGAAAATCAATTAGTTCCCAACCTCCTGTGAGCAAAGAAATTACTTTCATCAACATTCTGGAGAGCAGGACACAGAAGGTCAAAGACACTAATTTTTTCCCGAACAAACAGTAAATTAGCCGTGGACCTGTGAGTAGAACTGAGCTCTCAATTTCAGATGTTCTCGGATCAGCAGACTTTTCTGACTGTAAAAGATTTCAATCATGCACAGATTTCTAGCTCTAACGTGAATTTATAGGCTGTGGGCATGGTATCGTTAAAAGATTACAAATGACGATTTTCAAACTTCTTAAGGAAACAGGAAGAGGAAACAGGAGCAAAACAAGGAAAGATTCTGGAGTGAATGTTTACATTAAAATAGCAATTAGCTCTGGCTGGTGCGGATCAGTGGACTGAGGGCCAGTCTGCAAACCGAAAGGTCTCACATTTGATTCCCAGTCAGGGCACCTGCCTAGGGGGGCGGGCCAGGTGCCCAGTTGGGGCGGGGTGCAAGAGGCAACTGATCAACGTATCTTTCTCCCACATCAATGTTTCTCTGTCTCTCTTTCTCCCTCCCTTCCCTCCTTGCTCTAAAAATAAATAAATTTTTTTTTAAAAGATAGCAATTAAAGACAAAGCTACAGATATATTTAAAAACTAGTCCACTCATGGACATGGACCACAGTGTGGTGATTGCAGGGGGGAGGGAGATATACGGGGACTAAATGGTAATGAAAAAAATACAATAAAAATTATTCAGAAAAAACTGGAATAAAAAAAGTAGTCCAGACCTTAAAGATAACTGAAAATTATTGCCTTGGAAGACTCTAGGGAACACATCTAGAATGATTTCTCAGGGACTTTTTTCTCTTGTGTCGCTGCTTACTAGGAAATGGTTTTTGTATATAACTTTCACCCAACTTCATTATTACTTTTTTCCGCTTCAAGATGGAAACGTTTTTGATTTTGGGATTGACTAAACTTGACTATGACTGCTTTGGAGAAGGGACAGAAATGATCTTTGAATATATTTTCAAAACATACAGATCTTTTGAATATCATTTTTTAAATGAAAATGCCCAGTAAGTCAGACTTTAAACCTGTGATTACAGTCTGTGCAGCACTCACAGCGCACACACTGAAACTCGGACGTGGGAACACCGTCTGAGGAGCGCGGGCAGAGCCCGGGACCCGAACCCTTCACCTTGTCTCCAGCAGCTTCACGCTGCTCTGCAGCTGCTGTAAGCGCCGGTCCGACGCGTCCTCTCTCCGCTGGGCAGACGCCGCCTCCTCCTCCTAGGAACGAAGACACCGGAAGCTTATTTTGAATATGTGAACATTCCACTCACCGTCTGACAGCACACAGACAACAGTTCGCGCTCCAAACTTATCATCACATGGCTAGAACTTAATATATTAAGTCTCAAGGAGCAGGGCCACTTTGGAAACAAATCCTACGTGTACTGAAAAAGGGGAAAGAGAACTCACTGCAGTAGAACAATAACCAAAACCAGTCACTGCATATAGATTTCTACCAATCTTTCACACTACTGTGTTTCCACAGTGCGAGTCCAACAGAACAAGGCTGGGGTTTGCAGGCAGCCAGTCTGCCTTTGGGATCTGCCCCCCCGACCAGGTCAGACTGCGTCCGCTCTGGACACAGGACAGTGCTGCTCTGAGGTGGGGATGCTCTGAAATACATTCAGGTTTCATTTGTACCGTCTTTAAAAAATACTCCCTCCTTTCTGGTGTGTTAAACAAGTGTTTTTTTTACAATACCATTTTAATCCTTCTACTGACTTTTGGCTCTATGTGTCTGGATTATTTCTTTAGGGTTGCTCTAGAGATCACAATGTGCATCTTCATCTCATCCCAGTTTATTTAGAGTTTGACTGATTCGCAGACGCAGGGGACCGGGAAACGGCGCGTCTGCACAGACTGCTCCACCTGAGGGCCCCGACTGTCCTGCCCCCGCCCGCACACCTTATGCACCCACTGAACACAGTGCGAAGTTCTGCTGTAAAGCGGTCTAGTCTTTGAAGGCATTAATGAGAGAAAAGAAAAACATGTTGATGTACTATTTCATATTCATAACTCCTGTTGCTCTTAATTCCTCCCTACACCTGAGTTGCCATCTGGTGTCACTTGCTTTCAGCCTAAGAACTTTCTTTAGCATTTCTGAAGTGCAGCTTTGCCAGGGACGACTCCTCTCAGTTTTTGTTGGTCTGAAGATGCATTTGTTTGGCTTCATTTCTGCAGTGCAGCTGCACGGCACAGAGGACTCTCGGTGGGCAGTTTCATCACCTTTGGCACGTCAGACGCATTATTCCAGCGCCGTCGGCTGCCAGGCCCTTAAGGGGAAGTCAGCCGGTGCTCATAGCCGCTCCCGCTCACGCCCTTCTCCTGCCGCTGCTTCCACATCCTCGTACCTGGCTGTCAGTTTGTGGCGATGCCTCTAAGCGTGATTTTCTTTGTGTTCATCCTGCTTGGGGTTCACTGAAATTCTTAGATCTGCTCATGTTTTCCACCAAATTTTGGACATTTTCAGGCATTATTTCTTTAAACATCTTTTCTGCTCCCTCCCCTCCGCCTTTGCCTGACTAAATCCAACAGCTGGGTCACTGAGAGTGAATTTCACTGACTGCCCTCATTCTCCCTACGCGTCCCCCGCCCCGCCCCCGTGGCCAACAGTAACACAGTGTCCTGTCTAGTAAGTTTCGGCTGAAAACCAGGTAATATAGTTATTTCCAATATTATAATTTAGCTTCCTAATTTTATATTTTGGGGGCAAGAAAATGATTAATTCATTTTTCAGCAACCCTGAAAATCTAAATAGATCTAATCTAAATAGATCTAATCTAAATAGATCAATAAATACACAAAAAACTGAGCCACAGGTAATCAATTGTCTTAGAAATACGAAAATACCTTCTTTTTCATCTGTTTTTGAGACTCTTCAGTCATTTTAGTTAACTCTTCCAGTTTCGCAGATGCAATTCTCAGATCTGTCTTGGTTTGCCTAAAACAGAAAGTAAATGGGTACAGTTTTCATACACCATCAAGAATTTTAAAAAAATCAGAAAAATATGTAAATTTAGTAAAACCAGTACTGATTTTGCACGCATACGTGTTTAGGAAGGAAAACCTGCCAGGATCAAACCTCTGTAATAGATGGTTTCCTCATTTCAGTTTTGGCAGACTCATCCGACCCGCCCTCCTGTAGTTGGGCACAGGGTCACTGAGACACTCACCTGGTCCAGCGCACCAAACCTCTGCAACTGATGGCTGGTTTCCTGACTCCTATCTATTTTGCCTGGTGATTCTACTTCGAAATTGTCTCTCAACTGTGTAATACATTTTCACTCCCACTGCCCAACCTTCGGCTCCCTCACCACTTCCTAGGGCTGTTCTGATGGACCCCCGACTGAGTTCTCCACTGCTGGTCTCCTCGTCAGCTCACCTGCTACCGGGCGTTCTATCTGCAGAAAAGGTTACCTACCCAGTGATGAAAATTCTCATTTAGTCATGATTTCTGGGTCCCCCACATCTTTGGGCACACAGTCAACAGTCCTCTGCATGGTACGTAAGGCTAGCCAGCATCTGGCCTCAGAGTCTCCTCCCTTGCCGGTTCCCCGCACATAATTTACGTTCCAGGTATAACACACCACTGAACTTACTGTTTCCTACAAACATATCCTTGTCTATTTTTTCATGTATTTGATTGGACTAGCTTCCTTCCTCTTTTTTTGACAACTTCCTCAATCTTCAAGACTTATTCCTAAATCTCATCTCGCGTCTTCCTTAACTTGTCCTAGGCAAGAGACCCCATAACCCCAGCCCTCATAAGAATGTTGTGTACATTATTAACAGATACCCTTTCATGGAATTCAAAGTTTACAAAAAATGTGGGATTAAGATCGTTAAAGGCAAGGATCACATTTTGTTAATTGTTAACTCCTCACTAGAGAGCACAGTACCCAGCACGTGTTGTAGCAAAAGTAAATGTAATCACAAATGGATGTAAGAGAAGGCAACAAGAAAGGAGACAGAGTCAGCGGTGTACCTCGATATTTTACTCAGATCTTGCCTATCCAATTTGATATTTGTGTATGGAAATCTTAGAATAGTAATTTTGTGGATCTCTCATTTGAAACAGAATCCCTCTCTCACATAATTTTTTTGAAAAAGTTCAGGCACTGGTCCTAGGACCTGTTTTTGGAAATCACTGAAAGAAACAGCATTCTAAGAGCATTTGGATTCTTACATCATGGCTCCTAAAACAACAGAAAACCTATGTTTTGGGGGGATAACAAGCAGTACTTTATACATACTCGTCATTTCTACACTGTTCCACAAAGTACTTAGGAAAGGAGTAAACAGTGGTTTATATCTTCTTCTGGCATGAAAGACGGAAAACTCTTCTGGAATCTAAGCTGTGAGGCCTGTCCTTTGGACCTGGCTCTGCCGCCGTAAGAGCCACTTGGTTGACTGTGTCAACCACTTCATCTTTCTGAGTCTCAGAGCTGCAGCTATGAAGTGGAGATCAAGACACATCTTTCCTGCATAGCTTGCAGAATCATCATAAAGTTCAAGTCAGTTAATTCATATTAAGGCACTTTGTAAACGTTGTTGTGGTTTCTACCAGTGTAAGCTATCGTCATAATCTTGCCCTGTTCTGGACGCTGAATTGCCAGTGACTGTGTGGTACAGCGCAACTTCGCGGTTGGGCTGGGGAAGCTGGGCGATGCCTGTGTGTCTGGCCTTGATTCCTGGCCAAGAAATGAAAAGCGGGGTTTACGATACGCTGCTTAGAGTCTGAATCTCCTCTGGTAACCCCCAACCACAAACTACAACTGGTGGTTTTCACCTGGATTATCTGGTTAGACAGCTGGTTCAGACTGTGTGACCACAGCGGGGGAAAAAGACCCCGTGGGAACCTCTGCCTTGAGCTTTCCTGCAGCCAAGGTCTGTGCACACGTGTCTTCAGTAGTTCAATCTGCAGACAGAGCACGTCTCTGTGAGAACAAAGACCCTGGGGCACTGGGCGGGGGTCCCTGGGCCCCCCACTTGCCTATGCCTGTGCCAAGACTGTGGGGTCTCGGGAGTTCCTCAAATGTTTAAACTTTGAATCTCTAAAGAATCAACAAAAATAATCCTCATTTTATTTTATGAAGGAACTTCAATAACTATATGTTTATACTATTTTACTTGCAGAACATTTTAGATAGATGTTTGCTTGTGTACAAATTACATCAAGGTCGAAAATAGTTTTCATTGTAGAATAACCAATTTCATTAAAAAAATACACAAGAATAACTAAATAATCTTGATGTCACAACTACTCACATATTTCATTTTTGCCCCAAAGGAATATTTTAAAAAGCACATTATTTCATTTTCAGGCATTCTTTCTTGTCAAAGAATTTAAAGTTTCTGGGATATTTCTTTAACGTAATTTTTCATGATTTATAAAAAGCAAACTTTGCTTTATTAAGCAAATATACTTTGCTTTATTAAGCAAAGTATAACCAATATAGTATTATATTTAAATTACAGCATTAACTTGGACACAAATTGAAATGCTTTAATATTACATTCTTTTGAGATTTAACATCAAATACAATGGGTCTACTTTAATGTTTTATGTTTCTTTTGCTGTCTCATATCAAGGAAATCCTAAAAATGTTTATAATAATAATTTCATACACTGAAAAATGGCAAGATTCAGAGAGAAGTAAAATGCAGATTTTACTTATTTTATTTAATATATATTCTAGTTTTTTTCCTTTAAAATGAAAGGAAGATGCATCCCTTGGTACTTGAATAAGTACTTGAGTAATTACCCAGTGCTACAGTCAAGCCAACCACTGATACTTAAAAACTTTAGAGAATAACTAAGTATCATTTTAGACAAAATTCTGAAATTTTACCATCATTTCTCCTTTAGGAAACTGATGGTAAACAGCAAAACTGTGAAAATTTTTAATTTTTTCTTCTTTAAATCTTTAGTGTCCATTTAACGATCAAACCTATTAAAAAAACAAGCCTTCCAAGAAACTCTAAAAGCAACAGATGTTAATAATCCATGTACTGAGCCGTCAAAAGTTTAAAATAGAGACTCTTGAGTCTTTAAAAGTTTAATTCAAAGTTATACACAATTTAAAGTAGTTCAACATTCTAATTTCCATGTCACAATATGATTTTCTAAGATACCAGTAAAGCCTCTCTACACTGTCTGTGCGTGGCGGTGAGCTTTTCCAGTTCTACACGCACAGTCTCTCCGTCTCATTCGTCTGCAGGGTCTGGGGTGGTACCTGGTCATCAGTGCTTTTCAGCGTCCGTCTACTGATTCAGATGTACCGCCACAGCCTTAGATTTTACAGAATAACTACACAATCGGCATGCTTATCTTTACAAGAACACTTCAAACGATCATTACAAATATAGTTTTAGAGTTATCTAACTTTGGGTATCACTGACGAACTGGAGAATATGTTAATTCATTGTTAAGTAGGCTTATGCAATGGACATCCTCAAAAATCCTCAAAAATGGAGTTGTGCTCAACTTGAGAAAACCTAGGGTGAAAGAGCCGCGGGCAGAGAGAATTAGCAGCAACGGCAGAGAGTACGAGAAAGGCAGTGAGAGAGATGGGTCACTGGCTGGGGTGTGTCACTAAGGGGAAGGTGGAGGACGACGGCAGAGGGGAAGGCGGGGGTCAGGTCACCCACGTGCAGAAAAATCCTCCATTGAGGGGGGCCGACAACCAGGGGGGTGGAGGATTGTGTTTTAAGGCAAAAAAGGTGACAGTGACCTTGAGGAGAAGAACTGAGAGGTAGGATCAAATCCAAACGGAAAGAAATTCCAAAGAGAGACCAGAGCAAATACACTCGTCTTCCAAGCAGTTTCAGAGAACAGAGAGGAGAAAACAGAGAAAACTAAAGAATCATCAGGGGAGGTCTACGTATTTGAAGTCGTGGTGGAACCCCACAAAAAAAGGACTAAGCTTTTAAAGAAGAATGAATGTAACTGGATATGAGAAGAAAGAGACGAGATCGGGGGTTGAACAGCACACAAGAAATGGGCACACAGCCTAACAGAAGCGATGGAGTGAGGAAGGGATGCTCCATCTGGCGCTAGGACTTGCAGCAGCGACAACGTAGGGAAGGCTGACCTTCCAGAGCTAGGAAGGGAAATACCTATTGCCTACTCGGGACATTAACACTGACTCCCAGATCTGCCAGCACCTGCTTTGTAAGTATCACACCTGCCTGTCTCCTTGGGTGGGTTGTACACTGAAGCAGAACGGCGGAGAGCAAAGGCTACAGAACACTGTGGCACCACAAAGAAGGCCATTTCATTTCCACTCCAGAGACGAGGAGACTGAAGTCCATTCCGTAAGCAGCCTACCCAAGTCAACGAGCCAGAACCAGAACACAAAATACAAAATACAAAACGAGAACACAAAATCAGAGCTGTCTGGCTTCAAAGCTCATGCTCTTCATGCTTCTTATTATTACAGAAGCACATTTTTAGGTTAGGTGTACAAATGCACAGTACTTGCAAATTAAAATTATTATCAATAAAATACACATTTTGAAATACACCAGTAAGCAATGATTAAAAGGCAAAACTGCTAAACAATGAAGGTGTGGATGTGTTCCTACTTTTGACCAGGAGGTTCTGGAAGTGAGAGCTAACAATCTTTCTGCCCCTTAAAGATGAAGAGCAAACGATATAAATATTGAATAAGGGGTAACTAACTATAAGGGAAATAGTGTGAAGAGACAGGAAGATGACAGCAAAGCCTGATTTCTTACAACACGTTTCCTACGCTCAGAAGACGAGCTGCCAACACACAAGGCCTGCCTGGCGATTCTCATGACGAAGCACCTCTGTTCCGGGCCATTCCTCACACGGACGAGTTTCCAGGAGACGCTATGAATCAAGCACAGCGACCCACGAGTTCCAGATTTCCACAGCGTTCTTCAAACAGAACACACAGTATTATTCAAATTGGA